TCTTCCTCACTTTTATTTATTTTTTTAAAGATTTTATTTATTTATTTATTTGACACAGAGAGAGAGAGAGCGAGAGCAGGAACACAAGCAGGGGGAGTGGGAGAGGGAGAAGCAGGCTTCCCGTGGAGCAGGGAGCCCGATGTGGGGCTCGATCCCAGGACCCTGGGATCATGACCTGAGCCGAAGGCAGACGCTTAACAACTGAGCCACCCAGGCGCCCCCTCACTTTTAAATATTATAATGCCTCAGGTCTCAATTTCTCTCTCTCTTTATACTCTTTTGATGATCTCATTTAGTGTCAGGGTTTTAAACAACAAGCAGATGATGACTCTCAACTTTATACCTTCAGCCCTATCTCTTTTCTGAACTCCAGACTCCATATCCAAAAGCCTACTATTTGACTTCTCCACCTGAGTATCTATAGGCCCCTTTAACTTAGCACGTCCAAAACAGACTCTTGACACCCTGCCCACTGCTCCAATTTTTCCCGTCTCAGTGTATGCCAACAGCATTTACCCCAGGTCAAAATGTTGGAACCATCCTTTCTTTCTTCGTTTGATACCTCACACCTAACCCATCAGCATATTCTGTCATTTCTATCATCATTAAATTTTCCCAAATCTTACCACTTCTCAATATCTCTACTGTTACTGCTCTAATTCAAGTCACCATCCATCTGTCTCTTGGTCTATTGCAATAGTCTCCCGACTGGTAGTTACTTCCCCTCTTGTTTGTTTGCGGTGAATCCTCTATACAGTAGCCAGGATGATCTTTCTGAAGCATAAAGCAGATGATGTTACTCCTTCCCAAATGCTCTAAGGGCTTTCCTTTACACTCAGAACAAAATCCATGACCTATAAAGCCATGACAGTTTCTGGCCTCAGCCTGTATCTCCAACGACATTTCCCACTGCATTCACCTGTCTCACTCAGCTCCAAGAACACTAGCTTTTTTTCAGTAACTTTTCTCAAGGTACACTTGCTATTTCTCACACATCAGGTTTATTCCAGCTCTTTTTCCAAATCTTTGCATCATTTGCACCTTCACTTACTGTCTTTGCTCAAATATTTCCTCAGAGAAGCATTCCCTAACTACTCCTTCTAAAATGTAGTCCTGAGGGATATGTGGGTGGCTCAGTTCGTTAAGCATCTTCCTTCAGCTCAGGTCATTGATGCCAGGGTCCTGGGATCGAGTCCCACATTGCGCTCCTTGCTTAGCAGGGAGCCTGCTCCCTCTGCCTGCCACTCCCCCTGCTTGTGGGTGCGCTCTCTCTCTCTGACAAATAAATAAATAAAGTCTTTAAAATAAATAAGTAAAACAAATAAATAAATAAAATGTAGCCCCAATTCCCAACATTCCATATCCCCTTACTCTGCTTTATTTTTCTTTATAGTACTTCTATTTTATCATATTATTTATTTGTTTATTGTATGTTTCCTATGTAGGCTTTGAAAAGACTTTGTCTATCTTGTTTGCCTCCATAAGCCTAATGCCTAGAATAGTATCTGGCACAGCCTGGGAAGCTCAGAACTGCAGTTTATTACAAAAGAAACTGGCATACATTCTAGAAGGAATGTCTAACAAGTTAGTAGTCTACAATACGCAGGGAGAAGATAGGGTGGCCAACCATCTCACCATGTCAAATACTAATGGGTTTTCTAGGCCACAGGGCTTTTTTTTTTTTTTTTTTTTTAACCAGAATAGTCCCTGGCAAACTGGACTGTTGGTTACTCTAGAAAAAGGCTGTATTTTTTTTAAAGGGGATAGACTCTACTTGAGTCCAATCAAATGGACTCAGACTTGGATAATAACAAACATAGCCACCTCTACTTACTGAGTATTTACTACATATACAGACACTGTGCAAGTACTTTAAATACATTTTCTCACTTAATTTTTAAGGTAACCTCCGAGATACGCATTTTATCTCCATAATACAGAATAGGAAACTCATGATACTGACAGAGTTAAGAAACTTGCCTGCAGGTAAACAGTTTGAATGAAAGGGCTATAGAGCCAGTAAAAATAAACAACTTGGTAAGGACTGGAATGAACATTTGGAGCAGACGTTGCATAGTTCTGAAGGAAAGAATTTGTCCTCATATTTATTTAGCTTGAGATTTTTAATCAGTTTTATTCTTTAAGGGAGGGTTAGCAGGACTCAGTCAAAAAGAGGTCTGGGATTTCTACAAAGTTTGGGACAGTTGATCTTGGTTTATGAAGCTGGGAAGAGTAAGCTATCCAGATTCTGAATAGGACCTCACTGAGTTCATACTGTTAGTAATTAGAACTGAATTCAACTTTCGTTACCAGAACTTAGGTTCAAATTCAATTTGTCTAAAATTTTTTACCTACTTTTTTTTAAATTTTATTTTATTATGTTAATTACCATACATTACATCATTTTGTAGTGTTCCATGATTCATTGTTTGCATATAACACCCAGTGTTCCATCCAATACGTGCCCTCTTTAATACCTATCACCAGGCTAACCCATCCCCGCAACCCCTTCTCCTCTAGAACCCTCAGTTTGTTTCTCAGAGTCCATAGTCTCTCATGGTTCATCTCCTCTGAAACAAATAATACATTATATGTTAAAAAAAAAAAAAGAAGATAGTAGGAAGGGAAAAATGAAGAGGGGGAAATCGGAGGGGGAGATTTACCTACTTTTTTAAGGCAGTGAAATAATTACAAAGCAAGATATAGTAAGATATCGATTATATAAGGTCCTGGATGTTCTGGTCTGAATTTCATCCCTCATGCTACCTCACTCACAGGAATAATGTAGGGTTAAGGATAGTATAAATGTTAGAGTAGGCTTTGGAGTAAAACAATCCTAGATTTGTGCCCTGGCTTCATAATTAACCATCTGAGCAAGCCATTTTACCACTTTGACCATTTTCCTCTTCAGTACAAAGAAGATACTACCCACCTCACAGGGTGGTAATAAAGTGAGGTGTTATGGTGCTTAGCACAGAGCTAAGTGCTCAATAAATGATGGCTATTAATATTAATAATAGCTTCACCAGAATTTATTATTATTGTCTTTGGATACTAAAAGAATACTGCATCCATTGATAAGAGGTAACAGTGGAGTTTGGATTTTATTCTAAAGATTTTGGGGAGGCATTAAAGAATTTTAAGCAGTGAAGTGGCAATAAATGAAACAATAAAGAAGCCCGTGAAAGAGTTTAAGAAGGAGTGAGCAGAGAGAGAAGGGAAAAAACAGGACACATTATTATCTTAAGGCCAGGAGAGAAGTGGAAACAACCTCGTTAAGTGATAAGAGAAAAATAAGACCTGCGAAGTGTCCACTGTATGGCTGATACAGAGAACATTTCAGGCCCATTAGAGCACAGCCATTTTAAATGATGCTATCTGTCTGCTTTGCAATAAAGCAACATTTCTTAGTTTCTCCACCGCATGCAAAGACACAACTCACCTTTCCTTTGAGTCCTGAGCAAAAATTTGCAACGGCTTCCCTTTGCCTATGGAATTCAAACTACAGGCTCCTTAGCCTGTTGTTCTAAGCTCTTCACAACATAGCCCCAAACCAACTTTCTATCTTTTTTGTCCCCTACTACCCTAAAGACATCCAATTTTCCCTTCAACTAAATGTCTTGCTGTCCTCCAAAGACAAACACAGTAGGCATTTTCTCAAATTCATGCTTTTATTTGTATCCTAGTTATAGCACTTAATGAATTTGCTTCATAATTATTTGTATATCTGCAATTACAAAATCTCAGAATCATAAGAAAACTTAAGAAAATATTTCTCTTACAGAAATCTTGTCAGTTTTTTCACTAGTCTGTGGCAAAATGAGACAAAAAGAATATTTTGGTGTATCCTTCATAAATATATAAATTTATTTGGCTCAAAGGACTATCCTTTAATTAGAGACTATGTCCTCTTAAGTTTTGTTTTGGTGTTGAGACATCCTTTCTTTTACAATATGATGGTGATATAAAGAGTATTTTTTTTTAATGTCTGTACTTGCTAATTTAAAAATTGGTAACTTTGGGGTGCCGGGGTGGCCCAATCAGTTAAGCATCTGACTTGATTTCAGTCATGATCTCAGGGTCATGGGATTAAATCCCACATTGGGCACCATGCTCAGTGTGGAGTCTGCTTGAGATTCTCTCTCCCTCTCCCTCTGCCCCTGCCCCTATCCCTGCTCACTCTCTCTCTCTCTAAAAATCAATAAAATCTTTAAAATACCTATAAAATGTTGATCTTTAAAATACCTGTAAAATATTGGTAACTTTATGTAAATTTGCAAAATTTTTTTAATTCTCAAAGTTCATAAAATAAAAAAGCGAGAGAACCATTGATCTCTTCTAACCCTTACCTGACCCACAAATTCCCTCTGCAACATCTCTAACAAGTTATGCAAACCTCTGATTGAACACTTTCAGAGCCAGTGGAAGTGTTAGGAGCCACCTCCTCCTAAGATAGCATATTCCATTTTTTCACAGCTTTACCTATGAGAAAGTCTTACCTCAGCTCCACTTCTAGGTCAAAAAGCTGTTTGAGAGCTGCACTTTTTATTGCTTACTTCAGAATTCCCTACTTTATGCCTTTTCCATGGTAGTCACTCAAAAATATTTCTTAATTGACATTCTCTAAAGGAATCTAAGTTTGACAAAAATTATAACCTATGATCCTGTAATGCAAAAACATTTAGCGATGGGGTCTTGGAAAGGACAATAACACCCTTTTCCTGCAGGAGGCATATTTACAAAGTAGGGGGATTAACGGTTTGGGATGGAATTTATATTGTTTTCCTTAGGTATTAAGTCTATTCATCAATATAGCACTAAAGCTTTCCAGACTATCCTTTGAAAATTGCCTAAAAGCCCTGGGGAAATTATTATATTATTTTGTTTTATAGCTTTTCATATATAATCACTTTAGGAGAAAAACAATCTAGGAGATAAAAAGTTGATAATGTGATTTGATTATATTCATTTGTAATTTTGTGTTATTTCTTTTTCTAAAGCTGGGGCCTCAACTTTGGTGAACAAGGATATATTCGGATGGCAAGAAACAGTGGAAATCACTGTGGGATTGCTAGTTATCCCTCTTACCCAGAAATCTAGAGGATCTCTTCATTTTATAACAAGTCCAAAAAAATGAAACACTTTCTCTTAATTTTACCTGCTATAACCTGTAGAAATAAATATGTTGTGGCCAGTGTATATTTACTGTACTAATAGAATATATTTTGACTCTTCTATTTTTTTTAGCTTTGCAGATATTGGAAAAATTTTGCTACATAAATTAATAATGCACTATAGATATACCTGTATGAGAATTGGTCAACTGAAGAAATCTGTCATGCTTGTTTTGTCACTCTTATTTTACATGCTTTGTCTTTTTAAGTTCCCGGATACCCTTTTGTAATATGATGGCATATAAATGCTTAATAAATATCTCTTTTCAACTTTGTATCATTACCACATACCATTCTTTTCTTATCCTTAGGTAACTATTATAACCTATCACGAGGATGTAAATTATAGTATGCTGGTGAAGGGCTTTGGCAAATTTAATGGAGGAAACTACTAGGTTATTAATGTCGTGAGGGCTCAGATTATATCTTTGCACATTAAAGGATTAGATAATTTTTTTTAAAGTAGGCAAATACTTAAGATGCAATCTGTTTTCAAGCACTTTGGAAGAATCATTTTAATGATCAACAATTAATATACTAATTCAAATTATTTTTACCTAGTTATTAGCAATTTGGCCAGAACCTTTTGGGGGCAAATAATTAAGTCAACCTGAATAAAATAACCAAACTGCATCTCTTTTAAAATATTCCATTACTGGGGTACCTGGGTGGCTCAGTCAATAAACGCTGGGCATGGAGACTACTTAAAAAAAAAAATTCCATTACTGATATTTTTATCTAATTCAGATTGAGCTTTGTCCCAACTGCTCTAGAATAGTAGACAGATTCTGAAGATGCAGTAAGAACTTTAAATTTTGGGGCGCCTAGGTGGCTCAGTCAGTTAAACCACCCACTCTTGATTTCAGCTCAGGTCATGATCTCAGGGTTGTGAGATGGAGCTCCACAACAGGCCCTATGCTGGGTATGGAGCCTGCTTAAGATTCTCTCTCTTTCCCTCTCCTTCTGCCCCTCCCCCTCTAAAAAAATAAATACATAAATTTTAATCAGTTCATGACTACGACATGAAAAATGTGTGGGATGATGTAATTAGTTGATCTTAAAATGAACTTAAACTAATTTGATTATCTTTGGTTCCCCCTCCATAAAGAACATTTTATTTTTTAAAAGATATTTATTTGAGAGGGAGGGCAAGTGTGCAAGCTGGGGGAGGGGAGGAAGGGAAGGGAAAGGAAGAGGGAAGGAATCCCAAGCCAACTCGGCACTGAATATGGAGCCTGACGTGGAGCTCAATCTCACGACCCTGAGATCATGACCTGAGCCGAAACCAAGAGTCAGATGCTCAACCAACTGAGCCACCCAGGTGCCCCCATAAAGAACATTTTAAAGAACAAGAATTTCTACCTGTAAAAACATGAACATAATACATGACTACCATCAAAAGTGTAGAGAAACATTGTAATTAAAAAGTATTTAGTCAAGGAGTGCCTGGCTGGCTCAGTTCATAGAGCATGGGATTTTGATCTCAGGGTTGTGAGCTCAAGTCCCATGTTGGCCGTAGGGCTTACTTAAAAAAAAAAAAAAGAAGAAAAATGAAAGTATTTATTAAAAAAATATTTAATTGATCATTCTTTAGTTTTTATTTTGCCCACAATTTTTTAAGCACTGTAAATGGAACAAAAACATAGGTGGGTTAGGCGCCTGGGTGGCTCAGTCAGTTAAGCGACTGCCTTCGGCTCAGGTCGTGATCCTGGAGTCCCAGGATCGAGTCCCACCATCGGGCTCCCTGCTCGGCAGGGAGTCTGCTTCTCCCTCTGACCCTCTTCCCTCTCGTGCTCTCTATCTCTCATTCTCTCTCTCTCAAATAAATAAATAAAATCTTAAAAAAAAAATAGGTGGGTTTTAACTTTTGTAAGTCTGATGAAGCCTATAAACACTTACTTAAAATAATGTTTTTAAATACATAAAATAAAATATATAGGAATACAAAGGAAACAAACTTTATTGAAATACAGTTATTAAAATGTTAAAATATAGGGGCACCTGGGTGGCTCAGTTGGTTAGGTGTCTGCCTTCAGCTCAGGTTATGATCCCGGGGTCCTAGGATCAAGCACTGAGTCTGGCTCCCTGCTGAGCAGGGAGCCTGCTTCTCCCTCTCCCTCTGCCTGCCACTCCCCCTGCTTGTGCTCTCTCTCCCTCTCTCTCTGTCAAATAAATAAGCAAAATCTTTTTTAAAAAGTGTTAAAATATATATCTGTGCCACAGTAATACATATGCTTCTTTATAACAAGAATTAATAACTATCTTAAATTTGAAGTAGTGATGAGTATAAATGATATTTGACAGGTATCTGCAGAAACTATAATGTTACATATAAAAAATATCTGACTTTTCTTTTGGTGATAAATTTACAAGTATTGCTAATATTATTGTTTTATGGACTATATTCAGAATTGAAGGAAATGATAACTTTTAGTTAGAGGTTAGTGAAAATAAAGATGTAATTTTTTTCCCATACAAATTTTCTGAATTCTATCCATGGACCCTGGATGCCAGGTGTAGAACCCTTGAACTAAATAAACAGAGTAATGAAATATTTAACAAAGATCTTTATTCTATGTGCAACATAAAGGGAAATATTTAGCAATAAGTAATTTCAAACTTATAGAAATAAATAGCTTTTTTAAAAAATTAAGTTTCAAGCAAAAAGGAAAAGAATAAACTTATTCTGGAACCTATATATAGGGATGATTTGAAGAAAATAAAAAGGATACTAGCTAGAAAGTACTACAGTAAGTACATATGTGAGGTGATATAAAACCTTGGACAACTTTAGGGGCGCCTGGGTGGCTCAGTTGGTTAAGCAACTGCCTTCGGCTCAGGTCACGATCCCAGGGTCCTGGGATCGAGCCCCGCATTGGGCTCCTTGCTCAGTGGGGAGCCTGCTTCTCTCTCTAACTCTACCTGCTACTCCACCTGCTTGTGTTCTCTCTCTCTGTCAAATAAATAAATACAAAATCTTTAAAAAAAACCTTGGACAACTTTAGCAGCTGTGAAAAAAGAAAAAGAAAACAAACAAACAAGGAGCAAATTTGGAAGTCATTATAGAGTAAAAGTTGAGAAATCTTTTAACTGGACAATAAAGGTAGAGAAACAAGGATTTAAACATTGCAGAACTAGGAGTCCACTGGACAACGCCACTATGAACATATAAGAAAAATATGAAGACAGATCATTTCCTCGAATAAAATTATTCTTTTTTTATTGTTCTAGATGAGAATCTTTTTTTAAAAAAACATTTTACTTATTTATTTGACAGAGAAACACAGCGAGAGAGGGAACACAAGCAGGGGGAATGGGGGAGGGAGAAGCAGGCTTCCCACCTAGCAGGGAGCCCGATGCAGGGCTCAATCCCAGGACCCTGGGATCATGACCTGAGCCGAAGGCAAATGCTTAACGACTGAGCCACCCAGGCGTCCCTCTAGATGAGAATCTTGATGATGCTTCAAATATTCACACTCTAAGTTACCAGAGAGATTATATAAATCAGAACAGGTCCATCTTTAAAAATGAAAGCAATCCTTAGAGGACATAACTACTCTGGGGCGCCTGGATGGCACAGTTGGTTAGGTGTCCAACTCTTGGTTTTGGCTATCTCAAGATCACCAGATTACCCGCCTCAGGCGCTGAGCAGAGTCTGCTTAAGAGTCTCTCCCTCTGGGTGCCTGGGTGGCTCAGTTGGTTGAGCGACTGCCTTTGGCTCAGGTCGTGATCCCGGAGTCCTGGGATGGAGTCCCACGTTGGGCTCCCAGCTTGGCGGGGAGCCTGCTTCTCCCTCTGACCCTCTCCCCTCTCATGCTGTTTCTCTCTCTCTCTCTCTCTCAAATAAATAAATAAAATCTTTAAAAAAAAAAAGAGTCTCTCCCTCTGTTCCTCCTCCACCCCCACACTCTTTCTCTCAAATAAATAAATAAAATCTTTAAAAAAAAAAAGAGTCTCTCCCTCTGTTCCTCCTCCACCCCCACACTCTTTCTCTCAAATAAATAAATAAATCTTTAAGAAAAAAAAGAAACATAAGGACTCAAGATGAATCAATGTATCTTTGCTGATGCCTGCCCCTTCCCCAACCTTTAATTCATTCTCCACCCAACAGCCGAAGTGATCATTTACAAATATAAATTTGATAATATCTTTCCCAATTGTAAGCATTCAGTAGCTCCCATGACACCTGAAATAAAACACAAATTCCTTAACATTGACTATTAAATTCCGCATATCCTGGCTTTCCTATCTCATCTGGAGTCAGTTTTCCTCATTTGCTATACGCTAATCCCTACTGGCCTTCCTTCAGTTTTTGAAGCACTTCTTTTATTAGGACCTTTGCAAGTGTTGTTCTTTCTGCCCAGGATACTTTCCCGCCACACTCTTCCAATAACTTCTACTCAGCCTTGTGGTTGTAACTCAAATGTCATTTCCTTAGAGAGGCCTTCCATGACCCACCTTCTCCTGTAAATTGTTTCTTTTCCTTTGACTCTCATTGAATCCAGTGCTTTTCTTTCAAACCTTGTATCAAATTATAATTATATATGTATTTATATACTTATTTGTATAACATCTTTCTCCTTCATTAGATCATAGGCTGAACTAGGGCAGAAATCATGACTCTTGTTTACTTACCACTTTGTACTTAGAACATAGCCCAGCGCCTACCTGAAAGTAGTCTGTCACCATTTATTGGTGCAAATTGAATGCAAATGAATGACCAGCACATTATAAGAGTTAGAAGTAAAACTATGTCCTAATAGTTCTTTCACAATAATGGAAATCTAACACTTGTAGAAACTATTTTAAAACTTCTATTAAAATTTAAAGGAACCTATCATTCAAAACTTTCTTTTCCTTCTTCTGTCTCTTTCCTACCCCTCCTAGGCCTATACTTTGATCTGGATTTTGCTCCTCTTCCTTTCTACTTCACTGAGATTGCTTTAATAAAACAGTAAGCTAAAATTTTATAATATTCAGGTAGCTATCAGTTCCTGAGATTACTTACTTGTTTAATTTTTTTTTTAGTACAGCTAATATATTCACATGGCTCAAAAATCAAAAAGGATTGCAGGGGAGGGAAAAAAAAATCTTTTTCCTACTACCCTCCTAGATTCTGTCGCAGGAGCTATGTAAATTGGACTGACAAAAGGTAGATTAACAATAGAAAACCATACATATTTAATATAAGTTTTACATGACACAGGAGCCTTCATAAGGAAATGAAGACCACAAGAAATAAACTTGACTTTTTATACTACATTTGATGAAGAATGGAAAGTCCT